TTAAAATATATTTTAAAAAATTTACAAAACTAAACAGCCTACAGCATTTTTTTTCAGTCTTTATTTTACAGTTAAAATATATGTTTATCAAATAAAGTTTAATGTTACAACTAATCGTGGATCCCTTTAAAGCCAAGAATATGAAAATGTAATTAGGTCATTTTTATAAAATTTGACTTAATCCTCGTTTCGATATGATGGCTCACAAAGACGAAACTCGTGTGTGCGGCACCACCGGTCCTGCACCTGCATTTTGGTGAGCATGCCCGGGCTGTCAGACGGAGGTCCAGGTACGAGCTCAGGCTCCTCGACCTCCTCAAAGCGATGGACCCGTTTCCACTTCACGCTCGTCCCGTCGGCCGCCTCGGGAGCTGCTTTCAAGGCACTGGAGTCGACCTCCTCTCCAAAAACATCCTGAGTTCAAACAGCAAAACCAACAAATCATCAGAAATCAAACATCTGAGGTTTAATTTTACGAATCCAAAACAAAAATTAGACCTTTGGTACCTTCAGCTCTCTCTTGCGGTTCTTTTCTCCCGCTCCTTTGTTGCCGCGGGAGTTGCGGCTCTCCTCGAGAGCTTCAAAAAGACGCTCCACAAAACCTCCGGCGGAGTCATCGAGGAAGGGACGCAGCTGGTCTGAGGGCGAACAAACGTGAAGTCATGAACCGAAATCTAGTCCTAATCTGATTATTGATCAAGCAAAACATTTAAAAAAGGGATTTTCTGGAATCACATAAAGGGACAACAGCTCTGTCTGTCTTATTGCACATTTGTACAGCAGGGAAGACTGGGATTAATAAATCTTTTAAAATGTAATTTTACCTTAAAGAGGATTTAGATTGTTGAAATATATCAGTGGAAACTTTTTTCTTTTTTTAACCAGAAAGAAAACTGCGGTAGAGACGACTGAGAAGTAATGTAAATTTGAGCTAAATATGACCAATAATCATTCACTTTACCTGCACTGTAAGTACAGTCAACCATCCGTCAGGTAAAATGTTCTCTTGGACATCACTTTGACTTTTGACACCTACCTAAATACTTTCTGTAACACATCGATTTTACCTGAAATCATACAGAAATACCATGTTCACAGCAAAGACCATAAACTGCCAGACGTGTTCCCCGGGATTTCAACGTGAGGAGATCTGAGGGAAAGAAAGCTCAACCCACATATACCATACCATACCAACTTTATTTATAAAGCACTTTAAAACAACCACAGCTGATACAAAGTGCTGTACATTAAAACAACAACATAATAAAAAGTGATTAAAAACGGTTTAAAAACAAAAACATACAATTTAAAAACTAGATCCCGCTGGTGTTAAAAGCCCCCACTATCTAACAGGGTGTCACTGTTAAAGTTCTGGTACCAGAACAGACATCCTTAAATATGTTTTAGTCCCAGCCTTAAATAATTATCAACGTTCTGTTGACATCATATGTATGACAGAATCTGTACAAGGTAAGGACTTTGATATAATTTTCAAACTTATTTTAGAGCTGTTTTTCCTTTTTGTACTCGTAAGGCTCTTGTGTACAGATGCTAAAACTATTTATTTTTTAATCGGACCATCCATTAAGGATTTAGAGGTCTTTAAAGGCTGAAAATTATGAAGCAAGTGCTCCATTGACTTCCATTATAACAAAAAAAGTGCGGAGCTCCGTAAACACAGTGAGCCTCACAATTTCACAATGATTTTTCAAACCAAAGCAGAAAACAAACTAGATAAAACTTTAAGATAGATTTCAAAATGCTAAGCAGAGGGTAAGCATGAAAACGAGCGAAAAAAATAAAACCACAAAAACCTGACCAGGATCGGGCAGCGCATTTATCCAAGTCCATTTATAAGGTGGGTGATTCACATTGTTATGATTTAATTATTATTTTAGCTGGATCTTTGCCTACAGAGTTGAAAATAAGTACAAATACTTTGTTACTGTACTTAAGTAGAAATTTTGACTATCTGTACTTTGAGTAATTACTTTTAGCCTAATTTTTACTTCTACTCCTTACATTTTTACACAATTACCTGTACTTTCTACTCATTGCATTTTAAAAAAAAGTAAGAAGTAGAAAGCTGTTACTCCTATTTCTTTATGGCTTGTTGTTGTTAAAAAATATTATCCTGATACACTGTACGTCCTGGATAAGAGTAAATTTAATTGTGGTTGGATGAGAAGTATACATTTAACTATTCTGATCCTGTATTAGTTTGTACACAATCCATCACGGCTTCAAATGACACAAATCATGTCACATTCCAGCAGAACATAGTAGATATTCTGTATGTAGCCTAGTACGAAGATGTCTGTGGCATTTATATATATATATATACATACATTCACCGGCCACTTTATTAGGTACACCACGCTAGTAACGGGTTGGACCCCCTTTTGCCTTCAGAACTGCCTCAATCCTTCGTGGCATAGATTCAACAAGGTGCTGGAAG